CCATTCATCCATCCATCCATTCATCCATCCATCCATCATCCAACCATCCATCCATTCATCCATCCATCCATCATCCAACCATTCATCCATCCATCCATTCATCCATCCATCCATCCATCCATCCATCATCCATCCATCCATTATCCAACCATTCATCCATCCATCCATCCATTCATCCATCCATCCATCATCCAACCATTCATCCATCCATCCATTCATCCATCCATCCATCATCCATCCATCCATCATCCAACCATTCATCCATCCATCCATTCATCCCTCCATTTGTCCATCTGTCCACCCATCCACTCGGCCACTTGTTCCAGAATAGTGCCCAAGAACCTCTGCTCACACATAATGACCCCACCCTCCCTTGAGTTTCTATCTCTTCTTGAGTCAGTTTTGTTAATTTACATACAATAACTTACTGAAAACAACATCTGACGTCCAATTTCATTATCCCTGAGCTACATATAATGTTTTCTTATTCTGTTTTTCACTGAAGTATAATTGAAATACAATACCATATTCATTTCGGGTGTAGGACATCGTTATTTGAGGTTTGTATACATTGCAAAATGATCACCATAATAATTCTAGTTACCATCTGTCACCATACAAAGTTAGTACATTATTATTGACTATATTCCCCATGCTGTACATTACATCCCAGTGACTTATTTATTTTATAACTGGTAGTTTGTACCTCTTGATTCCCTTCACCCGTTTTACCCACCCTCCAACCCCCTTCTCCTCTGGCGACCATCAGTCTTTTCTCTGCATCTATGAGTCTGGTTTTGTTTTGTTTTTTAGATTCCACATGTAAGTGAAATCATATGTTATTTGTCTCTCTCTGCCTGACTTATTTCACTTAGCATAATGTCCTCAAGATCCATCCATGTCATCACAAATGGCAAGATTTCATTCCTCTTATGGCTGAGTAATATGCCATTGTACATATACTCCATCTTCTTTACCCATCCCTCTATAGATGCTTAAATTGCTTCCATAATTTGGCCACTGTAAATAATGCTGCTATAAACATAGGGGTGCATACACCTTTTCAAATTAATGTTTTTGTTTTCTTCAAATAAATATCCAGAAGTGGAATTACTGGATTGTATGGTGGGTCTACATTTAACTTTTGGAGAAAACTCCATACTGTCTTCCAGAGTGGCTGCACCAGTTTGCATCCCCACCAACAGTGCAAGAGGGTTCCCATTTCTCCACATCCTCACCATCTATTGTTTCCTGTATTGTTGATTTTAGCCATTCTGAAAGGTGTGAGGTGGTATCTCATTGTAGTTTTGATTTATATTTCCCTGATGATCAGTGACATTGAGCATCTTTTCAAGTACTATTGGCCATTTTTATGTCTTCTCTGGAAAAGTGTCTATTCAGATCTTCTCCCCATTTTTTAATCGTATTGTTGTTGTTGCTATTGAGTTGTGTGTGTTCTTTACATATGGTGGAGATCTGCCCCAGTATTTTCTCCCAGTCAGCAGGTCGCCTTTTCACTTTATTGATGGTTTCCTTTGCTGTGCAGGAGCTTTTTAGTTTGAGGAAGTCCCTCCCACTATTCTTTTCATAGGTTCTGTGTCCATACTTTTCATTTTCCATTCCCAATGTTCATTTCAATTCTCTCCTCCTTTGGCAGGATCATGGGGTCTCATCTAGTGTACTGGTCTTCTGAAGAGCGAGCCTTAAGTCTCACTGTAACTTGATACTGTCTTTTGCCCTCTGTTTAATACATTTCAGATGGTATCATTGTTAATCCCCTTCTTTTTGAGGTTCTCCTAGTTCTTTAAGTTAAATATTTAGTTCCTGCATCCTTAGTCCATCTTTCCCCTTAATAATAAAAGTGCTCAGGATACACATTTTCCTCTGAGTATCTAGCTGTGTTCCATGGATTCTGAGATTCAAGGATTATTTAGAAAAGTGTCTCTTAATTCCCAAGAAAAGGGGCTTTAAAAATTTTTTAATTAATTAATTAATTAATTAAATTAAGAAAGAGGCAGAGAGAGTGAGCACAAGTTGGGGGGGAGGCGGCAGGCAGAGGGAGAGAGAGAAGCAGGCTCCCCGCTGAGCAGGGAGCCCAAAGTGGGGCTCAATCCCAGGACCCCATGATCATGACCTGAGCCGAAGGCAGACGCTTAACCCACTGAAACACCAGGCGCCCCAGAAATGGGGCTTTTTGTTACTGGTTTTGCTTTTCTGGCTGTTCAATTCTAGTTTTGTTGGATTAAAGTCCAAGCATGTGGTCTGAAAATCTCTCCTGGGAGATCTGATTGATGTTTCTAATGGCCAAGGATATACAAAAATTGAGTGATTTTTAAATAAATTCACCATAAGTGTGAGAGAGGAACATGTATTCTATATTAATAACATATAATGTACTTTTTTTTACTTTTCATTTGCATTTTTCAGCTTTACTGAGGTATAACTGATAAATAAATGGTAAGATCATTAAGGTATATAATGTAATTATTTGGTGTATATACATATTGTGAAAGGATCCCACCCCTCATGGAGTTAATTAACACATCCATCACCTCACATATTTACCTTTGTTTAGGGTGGGAAGGTGGTGAGAATATTTAAGTTCTACTTTCTTAGCAAATTTCAATTATACTATACAGTGGTACAAAATTCTAGATCTAGAATTAAAGCTTATTGTTGAAATATATACCCTGGGGACCTCCTGGCTGTGGAATCCTGTAGGATGTGTCCTTCTGGGACCCACCACTTAGAAAGTGTTTTCAATCATTCTGGCCTTACTGTCCTTGGAGGGAGGGAGTCTGGATCTCGGCACCATGTTCCCAGACCCTGTTAAGGGAACCCCATAGATAGCCTGGGCCGCCCCCTCCCCCACTCCAGTTTACGGACCACATACCTGGAGGTGAAATTGGGGTCGGCTCTTCCCCAGTGGTGCTGCTGCCTCAGGGAAATGTTCTGTGGAGTCAAGAGCAAAGGGGCACTGCGATGGTGGGACAGCCTGGGGCCACGCACAGTCGCACAGTCGGGGCTCAGGAGAGATGGAGGTAGGACGGGGCCCTGGGAGGAGGAGCCTGGAGAGCATCTAGCCCTCTCCTGATTCTAATTGTACCACCAGCGAGAGGCTTCTAGAAGCTCATGGAAATGATCACCCCAAGCTCATGCATTTCCTTGCTGCCTTTGTCTGGGGGACCTGTAGTGAGGGGTGACTTTGTTTCCCCTCTTCTTTAGAAGGTGGCAAGGACTGGTCCAAAGACTCTTGTGGCAGACTGGTGCCTTGCCCCTGTCCCGTGGAAACCTCCCAACCCCACACCAGGCTTCTGGGGTCAAGCGCAAACCCCATAGTGCGACCATGAGGCCTGGCTTGGCCCTACGGATCCCCCAGACCCTATTTGGCCAAGCCCCTCCTGGTCCCCCTAGTTCCGCTCCGTCCTGATGCCTCGGTTTACCCAACCACCCATATTTCCCCAGGGCTGTGTTAGGCTCTCTGCCATGGCCCCCGTGCTTATCCCCTGTGACACCTTAATGACCTCACTCATTAAGTCTGGGTGACTGCTGCTTGCCTTGCCTGGGGGGAGGGGCAGGGCCATGTCCTCTCCAGATTCTCCAGCGCCTTACCTCGCTGTGTGCAGGGAAGGAAAGGAGGGAGGAAAGTCAGGCTGAGAGGTACCTTAAGGTGGCCAGAGCTGGCTGGGTGCCGTCAAGGCTGTGCCCTTCATCACATGCACCTGGGGCTGGGGCAGGGGCGCAGCTCACCAGTCTGTGTTTGGTGTTCCCGTCATAAGTGTAGCCATCCTCATAGATGATGGCCTGCAGGCCCAGGGAGTGGGGGTTGCTCACCATCGCCTGGCAGGGGCCGGGGAGGAGAAGCACACACAAATGTTCTGGGCCAGCAGGCACAAAGGGGTGCCACTGGGGGGTCTCATCCACAGGTGACCCCAGTGCACCTTCCCACTGAAAACCGAGCTTGCTCCGCAAAGGCAGGGGACCCTCCAATCCCCAAATGTGCCCAACCTCATCTACCCCCGAGCCCCGTGCTGCAGACAGCCTAGAGCTGCAGAGCTGCAGGACCCAGACCCGTCCCCAGTGCATGGCCTGGCGTCCCTTTGCAGGCGCTGGTCCCGGCTGGCTGGACTTCGTCCCATGGCCTTGCATTAACTGGCCCCCCCGTTTTCCGCTCCATTACTTATAGCCGAGAGTCCAGGCTTGGACACTTGGGTTTCAGGTCCGGGGACACCCACTGTCTCTCGAGCACCGCCCACTGCCTGAGGGAAGGCCTGAGTCGGGCTCCAGCTGGGCTAAGAGGCAGAGGAGCTTATGGGAAGCACGGGGCAGCCCAGGAGAAGGGCGGAGAATGAGGGGCACAGGCCCCGGGAAAAGAGGCCAGACAGGCAGAGGCCCACTGAGGAGCAGGACAGGGCATGTCTATGAAGCATCATAAGCGAGGTCTCCCCCTGGGGGATGCCAGGGGGCTCTCAGAGCCTAGGACGCTGGGGAACACCCCGTCTCAGGAGCGCCTGTCAGATGCAGGAGGTGACCTTACCAGTGGGACCAGGGACATGCCTGGCCGCGGTATCATCAGGGCGGTCAGCTCCAATTTGCTGTTCATATCAATGGTGTACATTTTGTTGTCAAATTCTCCTTGCAGAAGTTCTGCCTAGGTAGGAACGCCAAACAAATTCATGAATTAAACCAAGCTCCTGTTCCCAAAGCAGAATGGGCAATCAGGTGGGAGGCCCTCCGTGGCCTCCCCTAGGGATGGAACTTTCCAATCTGTCACTCATGTCTTCCTGATAGATCCTGCAGCCCCCAGAAGACCCTCAAGGTCCATGCCATCAACCCCTAGCAGGGCCTCCTCTCTCCAGAAGTGCCCTCCCCCACCCACCTGACTTTTACCACAATTGCTTTCTTGCTATGTGTGCATCCCTAGGTGATGGGACTTAGTCCTGCCCATTCTCAAACGTTGTTCTGTATAAGTCTCCTTCAATCCCCAGGCTCCTTGTCATCCCTTTCTTTTCATTTCTATTCATCTTTGAAGCACCCAGGCCGCTGGACCTGTAGATTCCCACAGTCTGGATTTTCCTGGCACAGGTGGGCGTGTTCCTCTGTGCGCGGAGTTTCTGGCAGACCAGAGGCTGGATCCGTCAGCTTTGGGTTGGATCACACTGGCAAGACTCAACGGGTGGTTGATCTTCCATCAGCAGCACCTAAGGCTGGCCGTCGCTCTCTTTGGATGTTGGGGTTGCCACAAGACGACATTCTATCATTTTGTTTTCACACATTTGCCGGGAGAATTTTTTTTTTTTTAAAGATTTTATTTATTTATTTGACAGAGAGAGGCAGTGAGAGAGGGAACACAAGCAGGGGGAGTGGGAGAGGGAGAAGCAGGCTGCCCGTGGAGCAGGGAGCCTGATGCGGGTCTCGATCCCAGGACCCTGAGATCATGACCTGAGCCGAAGGCAGACGCTTAACGACTGAGCCACCCAGGCGCCCCTGCCGGGAGAATTTTAAGACACTTTCCCCCTTCTAATTTTCGCTGACCCAGTAGAACAGTTGGAAGGGAAGATGGGATAAATGCTTGCATCTTGCCTTTTACTTACCCCATGTTCAAGGAAACAGGGATTGGCTTCTGGCCATCCTAGGAAGGTAGCCAATGAGTTGCTTCTTGGAGAAGTGGCTGATTCTAGGTCTGGGGTGGAGAAACGGCCAAGACACTGGGACATCCTGCCCTAGCTACAGGACGGTTGATGTGAATCCTGCTCTGCTGCCTGATGGTGCCTGCCAGGTTTCTCCACTACCAAGTGGCTACTCCCCCTTTCCAGACTGTTCCCTATGAGCACATGACTAAGACCAGTCCACCCTCAGGCGGGGGTTAAACTTCTCCTCTAGGAGGGAGAGTATATACGTACATTACTCAGAGTTCTTCTGTAGGCGGGGGATGTGTTTCTGCTCCCTTTATTTATTCAGTCACTTATTTATATCCTTGTGGACTCATATTATCCAACTAATTGTCCCAGCTTTCATCCATGTTTTTTTGTTTGTTTGTTTTTGCTTTTTTTTTTTTTTTTTTAAGTAGGCTGTACGCCCAACGTGGGGCTTGAACTCACAACCCCAAGATCAAGAGTCACACGCTCTTCCGACTGAGCTGGCCAGGAGCCCCATCATCCATGGATTTTCGTTATGCTATGTAGTTGCTGTTTTGGGTGGTTTTTTTTTTTTTTGCTGTTTTTGGTGGGATTTGGGAAAACTATTATACTACTTCTGTCCAGCAGCTGATCCCCCTACCCCAGGGTATCCTCAGTCTCCTTTGGCAGACCGGCCCTTTTCACATCCTTGGGCAGATGGCCTGGTGGACTTAACCTCACTACTGTTCGAAAGAGTGGATTCTGATTGGCTCACTCCCAGCCATGTGATTGGTGCGGGAGTGAGCATGTCATCTCCTCTGAGCCAATGAGATGCGGGAGACACTGGAGGGGGTGGGGACTTCTCTTGGCTTCTGCAGAACTCTGAGGAGAGACCCTGTCTCTTGCCTGGGATACTGTGTGAGGCTGCCCGCCTGCAGCTGCCGGCTCGATACCATATGAGAACCCAGGGCTTCCCCGAGGCATCTAGATGGATTTTCAGGATGAAGCATGGAACACCCCCGGCAGGCAGAGTTCAGAGATGGCCAGGAGCCGGTTCCTTGCTGGCATGACCTGAGTTGCTAAATCAAGCCTCGCCTGAGGTCTTCCCCCTTCAGACCTTTTGGCTGCACGAGCCAACAGTTGCTTTTGCGGCTTAACCGCATTCGATTTGGACTTTGTTACTCGCAGAACGACGAATCAAAATTGATGCATCCAGGTTTCCATATTTCTATAATCCCCCCCCCCGCCTTTGATCAGCCCATGTGCGGGGTGGGGGGTCTAGGCTGAGCCCCACAGCTTGGTGGAAGCCTAGAGCCCAATCGAATCTCCCTCTCCAGAGCTCTCCAGGTAAGATTCTATAGAACACTGATGGTTCATCTGACAGCTTGAGGAGGGAGCAGTCCTGGCAAGCACATCATTTGCTTTATTCTCTTACAAACCATCGTTAAGGGTTGGCTGGCTTCCTTGTTACAAAGAGCGTCTACTAAGGTGATGTATGTTTCTATCTGAAATAAGGGGCATGAAACCCATATAAGGAGAGGGTGCCAGCCTTTGGGGATCAGGGGTGGCTGGCTGCCAGATTTAGTTGTTTATGTGAAATTCAAGTATAACTGCTCGTCCCATATTTTCCCTGGCAACCCTCCTTGGAGCTCTTGGGTGTGGCTCTGTGAGATTTGTCTTTTTTAGAAAGAGTGCTGGGAACATTGATCCAAACAGTGATGATCACATACTTTGCAAACGTCAACTTGGAGTTGGGGATCCATGAGAACCGCTTGGATGTTCACGGGGCACTTCTGGAAATCGAAAGCTGGAAACACCGAATCAGGGAGTGGGGTCAGTATTTCCACTCTCCCCACATCAGTGAACATCAGGGCTGCCTCTTGGGACCAGAGGTTTTGGCCTGCAAACTGAGAGGAAAGCAATTTCGAAAATCAGGTCATTCAAAGTCTTTTTTGAGGACATCAATTTTACCTTACACGTCAGGTTTAAAGAAGGTAGACCAAATAAACAAAGGAACAAACAAAGTCATCTGTACACTTTGTGGAGAAATCTACTCTTCAGCTTCATTCATTCTTTGGTGATTAATAATGGAAACTCCGTCTTTTCTTCATCAGAGAGGATAGGCAGGAACTAAGTCTAGACTTATGCACAGGTCCTGGACCGCTCTGGAGAGTCGGGACGAAAGCTACAGACCCTCACCCAAAAATGCCCTGGTCGTCCGAATGTCAGGGTGAAGGCTTCGAAGAGACAGTCCTATTCCTCGTCCTATCCTATTCCAATGCCAGGCAGCCTTCTGGAACTATGGTGCCTGTGGCTTGAGCAGCAAAAGCACTGAGGTAGCGATCAGCACACTTGGGGGACTTCACTGGCTCAGCTGCTAACGAGTTACGGGGCCTTAGGAAAGAGGGAAACTTGAACTTCAGTTTTTCCTCCCTTGTAAAAGTTGGATGCTATGATCTCCTTCCTGGGGCTTTGTGAGGATGAAACAGAATCGGATAGGCATGATGTATAAGGTAATGTGAAATGACCCCTCCCTACCACCACTTCCTACCTCTCCGTGCCTCAGTTTTCCCATCTGTCCAATGGGGACAATATAAGGCTCTACTTCTTTTCTTTCTTTTTTCTTCAGTTTATTTATTTTTAGTAATCTCTACGCCCAGTGTGGGGCTTGAACTCACGACCCCGAGATCAAGAGTCACATGCTCTCCGACTAAGCCAGCCAGGCGCCCCTAAGGTTCCACTTCTTAAGATGATGGTTCCAGTTGGAAAACACTCAGGTAAATGAGGTAACAGTTGGAAAACACTCAGACCAGCGCCTGCCATATTCTGAGTGCTCAATAGGTTTTAGCTGCTGCTGTCATGATTTTCATAACTAGTAAAATCACTATTACTGTTAATTTTTTCAATATTAAAGTTAAATATTAATTAACATTAATATTAAAATTATTACTATCGTTATTAAAATAGTCTGACTATTTTAAACAGAGAAAGACATGTATCATATGATCTCATTGATATGAGGAATTCTTAATCGCAGGAAACAAACTGAGTGTTGTTGGAGTGGGGGGTGGGGTGGGAGGGATGGGGTGACTGGGTGATAGACACTGGGGAGGGTATGTGCTCTGTTAAGCGCTGTGAATTGTGCAGGACTGTTGAATCTCAGATCTGTACCTCTGAGACAAATAATGCAAGATATGTTAAGAAAAAAAAAAGAAGAAGAAGAAGGTAGTGGGAAGGGAGGAATGAAGCGGGGGAAATCGGAGGGGTGGACGAACCATGAGAGACGATGGACTCTGAAAAACAAACTGAGGGTTCTAGAGGGGAGGGGGGTGGGAGGATGGGTTGGCCTGGTGGTGGGTATTGAGGAGGGCACGTTCTGCATGGAGCACTGGGTGTTGTGCACGAACAATGAATCATGGAACACTTCATCTAGAACTAATGATGTAATGTATGGGGATTAACATAAGAATAAAAAAAATAAATAAAATAAAATAAAATAGTCTGACTATTTTAATAAATAGAGTAATTTCTAGCCTTCAGAAAAAGGATCAGAAGTTTGAGAACAATGGGGCACCTGGGTGGCTCAGTCAGTTAAGTGTCTGTCCGGCCTTTGATTTTGGCTCAGGTCATGATCTCAGGGTCGAGGGATCAAGTCCCGCGCTGGACTCCGCATTGAGCATGAAGCCTACTTAAGATTCTCTCTCCCTCTCTCTCTGCCTCTGCCCCCCACCACCCGCTTGCTCTCTTAAAAAAAAAAGTTTGAGAATACGATTTCCTCATCGGCGGGTCAATGACACTACTTTGATTTTACCTACTTTGATTAGAGAACTTGATAGGATTCCCAAGCTGCAATAATACAAATTGTTCTCCTGAGTCAAAACTGCCAGTTCATATTCATCTAGGAAAAACCAAACAAGATAGAACAAAATTGAAATGAGGGTTGTTTCAACGGATGAAAATATAAAAAATATAAAAAGTTTACAAAAAATTACCCCAGATTCCGTCATATAGGCCAGGGGTCAGCAAACTTCTTCTGTAAAGAACCAGATGGTAAATATTTTCTGCTCTGCTGATCGTGTGCTTTTTTTTTTTTTTAAGATTTTATTTATTTATTTCAGAGAGAGAGAGAGAACAAGCAGGCAGAGGGAAAGGGAGAAACAGGCTCCTGGCTGAGCAGGGAGCCCAATGTGGGACTCGATCCCAGGACCCTGGGATCACAACCTGAGCCGGAGGCAGACGCTTAACGACTGAGCGACCCAGGCGCCCCGATCATGTGTTATGTTTACAAGTGTTTAACTCTGTGAAAGCAGCTAGGGGCAACTTGTAAATGAATGGGCATGACTGTGTTCCAATAAGACTTTATTTACAAAACCAGGTGGTGGGCCACATTTGGCCCTTGGGCCATGGTTTGCTGACCCCTGACTTAGGTAACCCCAGTTAAATGTTTTAGGAAACATCTTTTCTGGTAGTCTTGTATTCGCGGTATCATATTCTGGAACCCCCTCAAGTTTTTTAAGAAAAGAGCTTAACTGGGGGCACCTGAAGAGCCTGCTTCTCCCTCTCCCACTCTCCCTGCTTGTGTTCTCTCTCTTGCTGTGTCTCTCTCTGTCAAATAAATAAATAAAATTAAAAAAAGAAAAGAAAAGAGCTTAACTGTTTTCTTTCATGTGTATGAATATACCCGGATGAACTACAACTGATTAAACCTGTCCTCCACGGACGGACACTGAGGTTGTTTCTGGTCTTTTGCAGACACAAAGTTCCAAGGAACACAGGACACCACTAAAAGGTTTTGTGAAAGGGTCAACTTATTTCCTACATATTTTTATTCTTTAAAAAAAGAAAATCGGGGCGCCTGGGTGGCTCAGTCGTTAAGCGTCTGCCTTCGGCTCAGGTCATGATCTCCAGGTCGTGGGATCGAGCCCTGCATCAGGCTCTCTGCTCAGCGGGGAGTCTGCTTCTCCCTCTCCCTCTGCCTCTCCCCACTGCTCCTACTCTCTCTCTCTCTCTCTATGTATCTCTCTGTCTCAAATAAATAAATTAAAAAAAAAATAATAATAACAAAAATAAAAAAAGAAAATCAAGGAAGCTTTCAGAAAAAGTGAGGCTTAAGCTGAAACTTGGGGAAAGCATCTGATGTAGAAATGCGGAGGGGTGTTTGCAGAGCAAGGAGCGAATTAACCTAGTTTCTCAACCTTGGCTTTACTGAGTTTTGGAGCCAGATCCTTCTTTGTAGTGGGGGGAGGGTGTGTGTGTCCTGTGCCTTGTAGGATGCTGAGCAGCATCTTGGGCCTCCACCCAGTGGATCCAGTAGCACGCCCCCAGATAAGACGACCATCTCCTCTGATGTCATCCCCAGACATCGCTGAGTGTCCCCAGGTTGAGGAAATGGGGGGTTGCTGTTCAACAGGTCTAGAGTTTGAAGGATGCAGGACGAGTCCGTTCTAGAGCTCAGCTGTGCATCATGCCTGTAGTTAAATACTGCACTGGGCACCTCACGATTTGTTAAGAAGGCAGATCTCCTGTTACGTGTTCTCACCACAATGGAGTAGAAAATGAGGTGTAATGGAGGAGGCAGGTGGCAGAGCGACTCACACAGTGACAGGACGCCCCTTATGTACAAGCAAACAACCCGTCAGGGCGATGCTAGACATTCTCAGCAGATCCATAATTGATCTGCGGTGTGCATCTTGCAACTGACTGTGTTTCACCCCAAATTCCTAACCATGGTTACCTCCAGGAAGCCAAAGAGGGGCCTAGGTTTAGGGAGCCGGTACAGGGGACTTTATTTTTTTCATTTTTATTATAATTTTTTTTAAGAGACAGAGAGTGAACAGGGGTGGGGGGTGGGGAGAGACAGAGGGAGAGGGAGAAAGAGCCTCTCAAGCAGGCACCATGCTCAGCACGGAGCCCGATGCGGGGCTCGATCTCACGACCCTGAGATCATGACCTGAGCCGAAATCAAGAGTCAGACGCTTAAGCAACTAAGCCACTCAGGCGCCCCAAGGGACTTCAACTGTACTTGGAATATTAAAAAAAAAAAAAAAAAAAATCCTTTAAAGGACCATGCACCACTGGCTTAGTTATAAGAGCATTTTATATCATGAATTTCTGTAACTATTTAAAGTTAACTTTAAACAGCTACAGGGACACAGATGGTAGAATGTAATGCAATGATCAGCAAACAGGGGAGATACTGACTTAGCACCCACGTGACTCCCCAGTGTGTCCCACTCTTTGCCTCCTGTGAGGAGAAATATTAGTCGGGCGAAGCTCATCTTTCAGGACAGCAGCAGGACAATAATTGCGTAGCAAAGAAATCCTGAGATGCCATCTGTTATGGGTTGAAATGTGTCCCCTCCAAAAAAGATATGTTGCAGTCCTAATCCCCAGGACCTCAGAAGGTGACTGCATTTGGAGATCAGGTCTTTACAGAGGTGATTAAGTTAAAATGAGGTCATCGGGGTGGGTTCTAATCCAGTATGATGGGTGTCCTTGTAAAGAAGGCGGGGGGGGGGTGGTTTGGACACAGCCGCGCACAGAGGGAGTGCAGTGTGGAGACGCAGGGGGAAGACAGCCACTTACAAGCCAGGGAGGCAGGCCTGGGGCAGATCCTTCCCTGAAGCCTCTGCAGGGAGCACGGCCCTGCCGACACCTTGATTCAGAACCATCTGCCGTTCTAAGCCCCCCAGTTTGTGGGCATTTGCTGTAACGTCCTAGGAAGCCAACACCCAATCCATATTCTACCTCCTGGTGAAGGGTACAAGTTTACGCCGGGAATTGTTCCCGAATGTGTGATAATCACATTTTGGTTCGGGTTTCGTTTGGTTTTGGCTAGACTGAATCTAGTGGGTCAGTGGTGAGTAAGCCCCGTGGAAGGCACTTCTAGAAAGCTACCCATGGGTGGGGCACGCACTAGCAGCAATGCTGTGGATGGTGATGTTGGCTTCAGAGATGGAAGAATACAAGGTGTTGGGTCCTTCTCGCACATGGACAGGGTAGACGAGCTGACCTGTGAGACGACAGGGCACAGTCATGAGGAAAGGGACCCCCCACTGCTGAAACACCGAGCGGTCCCCGCCGCCCGCCCCAACCCTTGGTGAGGGACTCAAATGATACAAAGTGGGGGAAAACACAGCACCGAGGCGCACCACCTGTAGAGCATCGTGCAGAAGGCGCTTAGGGTTGAGAAAACCAAGCCTGTGTGCCCGGTGGGACGGGAATGTGGCGCATCGGCTGCGGAGTTCACAAGAAAGGCTGTCTCACTGCTGGAATGCCTTTGACCGTATGCGTAACACGGGCAAGGAACAAGAGCTTCCGTTCTCCGATGAGCTCTCCAAATGGACGGGCTGGCCCTGAGCCCTTCTCTTGCACTGGGGGGAGGGGAGGGGAGGGGATCGACGGTGTTCAGGCGGCCTGAGTAGTGGGCGTAGTGGGTGGTCTTCCCTGACAGTACCCCTTTCCCCCTGGGGGGGCTGCCTTCTGCTTCTCAGCTAGGCCAGCGGGAGGTGCTGCGCTGTTTTCCCAGTTCTCTCTGGCCAGGGCAAGTCCAAGTGGGCAGCCCCGAGCCATGTCCTGGAGTCGCTGACCTTGGCGCCAAAACAAGGCTTGTGGTTCTTGGAGGGAGACTTGGGCTCTGCCCTAGGTGACTGGTGGGCGACTTTCAGAACCTGCCCACGTGGCCCCCTCAGGACTCCTGGGGCAGGAAACTGGGGCAGGGTGGGGGGCGGGGGGAGAGATGGACACAGTGAGCACCGAGAGTGAGAATGCGCTGGAGGCCTCTCCCCTGCTGGAGGCCGGGGAGACAAAAACCAGCTGTGCTTTCCCCACCCAGAGGGGGACACCCAGAGCCCGGGCCTGGCTCACCTGAGTTTCTGGAAACCAACAGGCTCTTCTCAAACCAGAAGATTAGAATGCCTTTCTGGCCTGGGGTGATGAGGATGTCCAGGGTCCCGTTGTAGTCGAAGGGTAGCCCAAAACTGCTGTTCAGCGGGTGTTCTGAGTAGCCGAACCTAGCCTGAGAGGAAAAGACCACGGAATCTGGGGGAAGGCATCACAGGCTCGGCGGAAGCAGGGGTCGGCGTGCTTTGCGGCGGAGACTTCCTTCAAATCTTATTATCTGGGCCAGTGGCTCTCAGCTTGGGGCGGCCCTGCCCCCAAGGGACACTGGGCGATGTCCGGGGGGATACGAGGAGCTGTCAGGACTAGGGGTGCTCCCGGCTTGGCCTGGGGCCGCTGCTCCACAGTCCACAGTGCCCAGGATGGCCCTGGACCAACCCTGGACAAAGAGCTCTCCTCCCCCAGTGGGCACAGTGGGAGGCTGAGGAGCCCTACCCTCTCCTGGGCTGCCACAGACAACAGCGCTCGGGGCAGGATGGATGGCGCTGGACCCCTGCAGCTGCCACCTCCAGGACACCAGGCGGGGGGTGGGGTGGGGGGTGGTTGGGGCGGGGGGGCGGTGCAGGCCCATCTGCACAACGTGCTGAGCCTGTGAGTGCACATCGCGGCCCCCAGCCCAGGCCCACTGTGTAATACACTGGCTGCGTCTGGTCCCCTGTCCTGGGGGACCGAGCTGCGGGTAGGAGAGTAGCCAACTAAGGCAATGCGCCAACCCTGAAGGAGGGCAGCCTTGAACTGCTCCCAGGTGAGGCCAGGGAAAGCCGTGAGCCCGGGCTGTCCCTCCCGGCAACAGCAGAGCAGCTGGGTCAGGACTGGGGCTCGGCTCCCTGCGGAGGGAGCCCCAGGCCAAAGCCTCCAGCAGTTTCAGGCACTCAGGGGCCAGGAGCAGAAAAGCACGGAGTACTGAGTACTGAACAGAGAAACATGCCCTGCAGGTTTCCTCCTCCGTAAGACGCGTGACTGAGGCAGCTCAACGGACATAGGCTAGGAATGCAAACGTGCAGGGAGCGAGCCCCAGAGCCCGCAGTGCATCTGCCCCCCACCCCAAGTGTGGACACCTGCCAACCAAAGCCTGTGGGATTGCGGGTGGGCAGCCTGAGAAACTGTGCATAGGTGGTAACCCTGGACTCTGTGGTCATGAGGGCACTCTGGGCAGGGACGGGACCCAGCACATGGCCAGAGGGTGGGGGCTTCAGCCATGGAGGTCAGCCCAACCACCCGAAGCTTCCTGACACCAGGGCTCCCCTGAACTCCAGAGCTGCACATCCCACCTACCCAGGGTGCAATATTGTACTTAATCCTTTTCTGCCTTAATATTTTTTTTCAAATGCGGTTTACATGGACTGACTCTTTTTCTGCCTTAATATTTTTTTTCAAATGCTGTTTACATGGACTGACTCCTCTTTTTTTTTTTTTTTTTAAGATTTTATTTATTTGACAGAGAGAGACACAGCGAGAGAGGGAACACA